TCTGAAAAATTCAATAATTATTTCAGGGTAAAACATTATATTATTTAACAAATTATGCTTAATAAATGGATTATCTGAATTGCAGAAAATAATGTTCTATTCTTAACATATTCCAGAAAAATAATTTTTAATTTTACCTTTCAAAATATTAAAATAATAAATTACAAAGTGTAATTTCAATAAAAAATTAGAAGAAAATTATTTTTAATTTTCTTTATTTCAAATAAGAAACTAAGAAATGAATAAATAACTGTACAAAATAAATTACAAAAAATTGTAAAAAGGCACAGGAAATATGTAAGTCTAGAAAGAATAACTTCTGGAAGAAGACAGAAAGCCCAGAAGATAAAAAAGGAAAACAATAAGAGGCACATATGCATAAATGTGTATTCAGGCATATATAATTATTTGTATAGATTAATTTATATGTATAATTATAATGTTTTGCAGAAAATAAATAGCCATTTTTTTTTATTAGAAAGCACTTTGAATGTATCTGACAAATATATCAGGAACATATTAAAAATACAAAAGACTACTAATAGATCTTCACAGACCAAAAGAGAAAACAAAAACACTACAATTGTAAAAACAACACAAGGCCATCTATTTGTGCACAGAGGTTGATATGTAGAGAAGGTGGGCTTGTACCTGCAATCTGCTAGAATTTCTGAGCTTTTCTGTGATGCTAATGTGATCACCTAATGGCAACTATGTGTACAAGAATTTTGCAAGCACTAAATTGTGAAAAATGTAGTCACTGTAGTCATATATTTCTGCTCATTTTTTTTCCTACTCTGGATTCTGAAATCAGTCTAGAATCCCAATGAGATTTTGTTTTTAAGGTGTTATGCAGTGATCGAATCTGAAAATGTATATGGCCTGTTTCTTCAGAAAACATTCTCAACATTCTGAACAAAAGAATTCACACTTTTTAAAACTAAGTTGCAAATGGCAACTTGAGCAGAACTTGAGTATCAAGCATCTTGTTCTTGCTAAATATTTAATACAGAGCAAAAGACACAGTAGGCACCCATTAATAATTTGCAGTGTCAATGATGGAATGGAATGTACTGAACAGAAAACTATGTCAGGAAAACAATGACATCAAAATGAATGCAAACCATGACCTGAACATAAAAGAAGAGCAATAACTTGTTACTTCAGACTATGTATGGTTAGCTTCCTTCAGGAGCAAATCACATGATTTGTTTTGTTTTTATTGTTTTCTGCTCACTCATACCTCCCATTCTGTGTCTTTCTTCAAGGTAGATTACACATATTTCTTGATTGTTGCTCTGTGTTCCATAGTTTGCAAACTAAATTAAGCTTCTCATAATGCTCATTTGTTAATTCTAGATAAATATATAAATACATACTTAGAATGAAATAAGAAAAGGAAAGAATAAAAGAGAAAGTGAGAGACTGGGGAGATTGAGAGAGAAGAAGAAAGGAAAGAAAGGGTACAAAGAGAAAGTAGGAGAAAAGAAAATATACTAGCTTATTCTCTGTGTGTGTGCATGTGTGTGTGTTTACTTATTTATTTTTCTTATAGGTAGAAAGATACCAGCAAAACAATTTATACCACCATTGGCAGAAATGCCTCAGGGCAAAATAGTACTGACTGCATAAATGTTAGCTTTTCTTGAATATTGTATTAATATAAGCTAGAGTTATGTGTTTCCAGAGATTAATTTGGATTGTGAAAACATTAGCATTTCACTTCTAGATTACGTTCACACAGAATGAGAATGACTTAGAGATGCCAATTATAAGATCAAATATTAATTAATATTACACATTCCAAGTACAGCTTCTTTTCTTTTTCTTGGAACAGTTAATAGATCTCAGATCCAAGCTGTCTTTGGGTGATGAGAGTTACATAATGGGCTTCATCTCTTCTCACCATAGGTACAGAAAGTCTTTGGACTATAATAATTTAACTACATGTTAATTTAAGAAATTAAGAAAGGAAGAGTTGTAATAATTGGAGTACTCCTGGCAAATAGACTTTTATGCCCTTTTCAACTCTTCAGCATGTATTTTTTTTAGCCTTTGAAAATATAGACCCCTCCCCACCACAAAACAATATCATTTTATATGGTAAATCAAAGAAAATCTACAGTTGTTGTACTCATGAACCCTGGCACAACATTTGGCAATATTCAACATTCATCGGAAATGAAATGTGTTGAACAAGCAACATAGGAATCCATGTTTCTACAATTTTTTTTAATACCAGGGATTGAACCTCAGGGTGCTTAAACCATTAAGCCACATCCCCAGATCTTTTTATTTACATGTCTCCCTAAGTTGCTTAGGTTTTGGCTAAGTTGTTGAGGCTAGCTTTGAACAATCCATCCTCCTCCCTCAGCCTCCCAAGCCACTGGGATTATACTGAGCTCAGCTCAAAGTATTTTCTACATTTTATTACAAGCTCTTGAAATGTTTTTTTTTTCCTAAAGTCTTTTATTCTTAATGATTATAAAACTTAAGACAACATAGCTAATTATTCCACAAACTATTTTCTTTACTTGGTTGACCCATCTCACCTTGTTTAGCATTAGGTGGGAACAAGAGTACTCCTTATTTCCCTGAACAGAAAATAGTCAGCAAGCCTCGTAAAGACCTTCTCAGACACTCTGCTTTAATCTGCAGTACACAAATGAATAATTGAATACCCCAATCATTACTGTATTTTGCTTCTGTTTCAGTTTTGGAATTTAGATTAGTAACACTCATCTTGGGGGTTGTCAATCTGCTTTTAGCAGTAGAAGATAAGCTTAGCCCAGCTCAATGTTTAAATAATGGATGAATGATTAGAAAACAAAAACCAGAAACACATATTATAATTAGAATTTAATTCATATTCACCCTTATGAATCTGGAGACATGTCAGCAAGATAATTAAAACAGCAGTTGGTTCTTATTCCTCTCTTAGTAATAGACTTCTCATAGTAAAAATTGTAAAATGAGTACACAGCTATGAAAGCAATATAAGTGTTTATTTTAGAACTTAGAATATTTTTTAAAAATTGAATTATTAAACTCTGACATAACTTATGAAGTTGAAAATCTTTGTTTTATTTTTTAAATTTAAATTCAGTTCTTTTTAACATATATAAAACATAAAAAATTAACACATTGATGGGGTACCATGTGATATTTCAATATGTGGATGCATTGTTCAGTGTGTAAATTCAGGTTAAATATATCTGTTTTCTTATTTATTGTTTCTTTATAGTGAAAATATTCAAACTCCTTTCTTCTAGTTTTTAAGAATATACTGTGTATAGCTACCTGTATTCACCCTAGTATGCAATAGTATAACTGTGTTTCTTATTCATAACCACAACTCAGTACCCACTTAACAATGTTCCCTCTATCGCACCTCCCTTTTATTCTCCCCAGGTTCTTGTACTCAGTTTTTATGAGATTAACTTTTTATATTCCATATATAGGTGGGGGCATGTGGTACGTATCTTTCTGGGACTAAAGTCTATATTAAAAGAGTCCAAAAGTAATTGTTATCAGTGGTAACCACATGTCCTATAACTGCCATATTCCTTGTGTCACATTTATTTATGTTTTTCACTATTCAGTTTTGCTTTGGTAAAGTAAGCAAATTTAAAAAAAATATATCAAATTATTATATATGAAATACATTGATGGCTACGATAGTTCTAAAGATACAGAATGAACATATAGATTTCATTTTAATGGAATGTACAACCTGGATAGGTGAAGAGGGATAAAAGAATTCCTGATTGAGAGGATCTATAGATCAATACTACAGCATGAGACACTGTTATATACGTCCCTGAACACTCCTCAATCCTTCTGGTTTTTGTAGAGAATAAGTAATTATTGTTTTGCGCTTATAAAACAAGATTTGGATCACATCAAGTGAGCCTTCTCCTGATACTGCTCACTAGTTTATTGAATCTGAGTTTCTCAATTAGTGAGAAACTGAGTTCTTTAGGAAATCTTAGCATAGAACTATAAAAGTCTGCAAATTTATTATTGTAAAACTATACTTTTTTCATGAAAATTTTCTATTTTGTTTTTATTTGAACATTTTTCTGCTTACCCATGGCTGTAAAATGGTCTTTATGAAGTAAGTTTTCTTTTATTTAATATTTTCATTATGTTTCCCAAAAAAGATACAGTTATCTAACTTAAAATGCAACTTCTTTTTCTTGTTTGTATTATTATTTTTGAATTTTAAAAATAAGAATGCTGCAACAACTAGGAATTTTATTTACCTATCATATATTAATTACACAAATAATTTTCAACTCCCAAATGTTAACTTATTTATTGAATTAATGATATATATGGAGCAGTTGCCTCAATTTTTAAATTTCAATTTTCATTAGCAGTTATTGTGATGATCTTGGGGATAATTCCCTGTGAGGCTGACATCCCACAATGTCCTGGGTAGGAAAAGATCTTATATGTAACTGTGCCTCTTAGAAACAGCATGATAATAGAAAGCAGCTTATTTTACTGGAAATGACTAGACTGAGGGACCCATCATAGGATATGAGTTCTTTTTCTGATAATGATTCCCATTCCTTTATGTATTCCCCCCTCTGTATGATACTGCCTCGTCATTTAGAATCCTCACCTGGTCTCTGCTTTCCCTAATTCTGTGCCCATTTGTGTCTTTATGCCATTACCTGTATCCGATTTTTCAACATCCTTATATTTTATCAGTCATTCTCTCAACTTCCTCAATAATTGTCTTCTTCTTTTCCACATGCCTCCTGACTGCTATATTTATTTTTATTTTCATTGTAAACATATTAGGAGAAAATAAGGAAGTTGTTAAAATAATTCACATTTTATTCCATTTGTACAAATAGTTGACTATTTAGTAAAGAACTAGGGAGTGTCATATGAGTACATAGCAATACACTATTTTAGTTCTTCATATATCAAGGACAACCACTATTGATGGAAACTACAGCACAGGGGTGAGGAGGACACTTACTTACCTGAGGTCTTGAGATGGTTCTGCTCTGACGTGAGGTGTCTCCACCGAGTGCCCAAATACTGCTCCTTCGGTGCCTGGAGGCAGCAGAAATAAGTGGTCAGAGCAATAAAGTCCATAGACACATTCGGTTTCATTTCTATTTTTATACATCAAATATTCTTCCCCAAATGGGAAAACTGGAAACAGGAGTAGAGAAAATAAAAGAGAAATGATGGAAGAGGAGCACAGAATAGTGAAGAACCAAAGAAAGTCAACCTAAATATCTGTTATAACTCTGTTAACTGCTTTTAAGATGACATTACTTATACATTGAGACTGAGAATTTCTACTTTCTGGTCAAAGAAAAAGGACCCATTTATTTTTCCAGTGCCTAAATTCTCAGTTAAGTGAACTAGAGGGAGGGACAGGTCAGTTTTGATTTCTGTCCTCCTACAAATAGTAGGGCAGGGATGAAAGTGTTAGAGGGTGAGCTCCAGTGTAGCGTATTACTAGTTGCTTAAAGACAGGTCTCGTGGGGCATTTAGCAATATAGCTTCATAGTGATCATCAAATGATAGAGAACGTATCATGTTACTTTGACCCCTCTGGAGTTAAGGCTCTATCTAAAACTATGAGCTACTTTAGTTCATTTCATTATAGCTGAATTCATATGGGGTCACAGATGTCTGAAGAGGTCACGGACTCTAACATCTGCCTCAGCAGTTGAATGACACTCCACATAAACTTTCACTTACTGACTCCATTTGATATTTTTTCAGACTTAGAGCTTCTCTGTGCTTTAACTGAACAAAATGGAATGATTTTCTTCTTCAAAAGCCAAGTGAAAAAAAAATTTTTTAAAGATATTGGTAAAAACCTTTGTATTTTTGTGATTTTTCACAAGCATTTCAGATCATTTCCTTCAGATTAAACTTTAATTTCTTTTGTTCTAATATTCTTAAAATGTCTGTATGTAAGAATGTCACTCCTGTTCCACAAATGTCTTCAAAACTATTTAAGTATTACAAGGCAATTCAAAACTATAAATTTTAAGCCTACAAAACAAACCTGTTATTGCTTAATGTGAAGGAACACATAAAATACATTAATTCCAGTAATCAAGGATGAAATTGCAGCTAGGAAAGTACAGCTAACATTTTGAGTTTCTTAAATAATAATTGGCTGTGTTGGGAAATGTATTAGAACCACCTGATGATAGCTTTTTAAAAAATAGCAAAAAGACCTTGATCCTGAGTCACAGAGGAAGGTTTTTTTTCCCCAAAGATTGTAACAGAATTTCATCTGTTTTATGGCTCTTAGGACAAATTAAGACTCTGCTGTAGTAAATTCCTAAGATTACAGATTTCAACTTATAACTAAAAGTTATTGGCATTTTTGGACCTTCTGCTGGGTTTTACTAGGTTTTTCTTTTTTTCTTTTTCCCCTTAAAATGGAGCATGTAGTGTAGGGCACATAGTGTTTATCATTTTAGTTGTTTTCACAAATTTAGAAGAATTATGTCTGTAAGAGCATTTCTCTTTCCAGTTTGTAGGATATTTTATCTCTAAAAGTGGTAAATTTCTTAAGATGAGTCTTTAAATGTAAAATAATAGTTTGAGATAAATCTCTACTTTCATGCTTTTGATGGGATGGCATTTGAAAGAACATTCCAAGGTATAAGTTTGCAGATCTGAAAAAAAGAGACTTTGACATTTTAAAATGAAATATAACTTCCAGATAGGTTATTTATCCATGTGCAAGGTTCAAAAACTAATTTCTACTATTGTATGATTATGAAAAATTCCCAATGAGTCAGAAATATAATTAAAGGATGGCAACAATACTTATTTCTGAACACAGGTTGGCATACATAGTAACTGGGCATAGATTGTATTGGGGAAAATGAAAATAGTCAAAGTTTAAGTTTTCAAAGAAGATCAAACAATTATACAGGTCTCGATTCTAAGTTTCGATGTAGAAAGGTATTAATAATTTTTAAAATATTCCTAAGGAATTAAGTCTACAATCACATCATTTATGGGGCTAAGTTGAAAACTGAACAAAGCATCATAAATAAATAACTAAATGCTGATATCTAGATGACGAAAAAAGTTGTTCTCACCCTCCCTGCTGATGCCAGACTTACAAAAATTAATAGTTGTCAAAGATAATCTTGAAGGATATCAATGAGGAAAAATAAAAGCCACCTGAACCAGATTTGTACTATAACAGCTGAAGACAATCAACAGTAAAAAATAAATCTCTCATGAATGGGAAATTTTTACTGTCAGGTTTGTTAGAATTGACAATAAAAATACAGGATATTGGTAGCAGGAGATGGAAGATTATAGGAAAGGTTTACCTCCCAGTAGCTCCTTAGCAACAGAATTAAAAAGCAGGAAGACTGCTCATCAAAGAGATGGATAACTAAGAAAATTCCCTGAAATTCAGTACTTGACAGTAAAAGAAAACATAGAGAAACAGAAAGTTTGAAAATTCAAACATAATATAAGAAACCATATGTTAGAGGCAATCATGAGTTCAAAGCCAGCCTCAGCAAATTAGTGAGGCCCTGAGCAACTCAGCAAGACCCTGTAAATAAAGTGTTAAAAAGGGCTGGGGATGTGGCTCAGTGGTTAAGCACCCCTGCATTCAATCCCCAGTAGGAAAGAAAGAAGGAAGGAAGGAAGGAAGGAAGGAAGGAAGGAAGGGAGGGAGGGAAGGGAAGGGAAGGGAAGGAGGGAGGAAACGAGAGAGGGAGGGAGGGAGGGAAGAAAGAATATGGGGATAGAGATAGAGATGTGCCAGCTTGGCTGGTGGGAGCAAAGAATAGTGGGGAAAAAAAATGGATTTGCAGGAATCTATGGAATATAGAGGGAGGCTGATCTTCATGGGCCCAGAGCCAGAGAGGGAGGTTGTTGAGTTAAAAAAATAAAAATAAAAATTTCTCAACAGATATTTCAATGTGAATTGGTGCCAGTGGAGAACCATTTGTAAGTGCTGTACCATGGGGAGCACAAAAAAAAGATCAGCAACTCATAAAGGAAGTTGCCACCCTCCCAGCAGTCACCTATCATGGGCTTCAGAGAGCCTGACCAGTGTGACTGAAATAGGTACAAAGAGATTTATTTGATCCTTGAGGATCCTTTGTATGAATACCAAGGAGAAAAAGCTTTCTTTGTTGCATGATGTCACATATCCATGATGACTTTGAATAGAAATGGTCTCAACTTCCCAATTATAAGTTATAGATTAGGATAATGTATTTTTAAATTTTTATTTGTTTTAATTAGTTATACATGACAGTAGAATGCATTTATGCACTTTGATATATCATACATAGATGGGATATAATTTCTCATTTTTCTGGATGAACATGTTGCAGAATCTTATTGGTCATGCACTCACATATATACATACAATAATGTCTGTTTCATTCTACTATTTTCCCTATCCCCACATCCCCTCTCCTTCTCTCCCATCACTTCCCTCTACCTCATCTATGGTAATGCTATTCTTCCCTAGTGTCTCCCGTCTTATTATGAATTAGTATCCACATATTAGAGAAACGTTGGCCTTTGGTTTTGTAGGATTGGCTTATTTTGCTTAGCATGATATTCCCCAAAGCTATATGTGCTAATAATTTATATATGCCATGATTTTACTCTTCTTTAAAGCTGAACTAATATTCCATTGAGTATATATCCACATTTTCCTTATCCATTCATCTATTGAGGGGCACCTAGGTTGGTTCCATAGTCTAGCTATTATGAACAGAGCTGCTATCAACATGATGTGGATGCATGCATTACTATAGTATGCTGATTTTAAGTCCTTTGGTATAAACCAAGGAGTGGAATAGCTGGGTCAAATGGTGGTTCCATTCCCAATTTTCTGAGGAATCTCCACACTGCTTTCCATAGTGGTTGTACCAGTTTGCAGTCCCACCAGCAATGTATAAGTGTATCTTTTTCACCAAGATTGCCATTCTGACAGGAGTGAGATGAAATCTTAGAGTAGTTTTGATTTGCATTTCTCTAATTGCTATAAATGTTGAATACTTTTTCATATATTTATTGATCAATTATATTTCTCTTCTGTGAAGTGTTGTTCAGTTCCTTAGCCCATTTATTGATTTGGTTATTTGTTTTACAATGTTAAGTTTTTGAGTTCTTTATATATCCTAGAGTTTAATGCTTTATTGGAGGTGTATGGGGTGATGATTTTCTCACAATCTATAGGCTGTCTCCTCACTTTATTGTTTTCTTTGCTGAGAAAAAGCTTTTTAATTTGAATCCATTCCATTTATTAATTCTTGATTTTACTTCTTGTGCTTTAGGAGTTTTGTTAAATAATTCAGATCCTAGGCTGATGTGTTTCTAAATGAAATTCTGGCATATTGCATACAAAACCATATTAAAAATATAGTGCACCATGATGAAGTGGGATTCATCCCAGGGATGCAGGGTTGGTTCAACATACGTAAATCAATAATCATAATACATCATATTAATAGTCTTAAAAACAAGAATTATACCATCATCTCAATAGATGCAGGAAAAGCATTTGACAAAATACAGCACACCTTCATGTTCAAAACAAACAAACAAACAAACAAAAAAACACTAAGGATAATAGGAACATACCTCAATATTTTAAAAGCTATAGATGCTAAACTGAAAACCAGCATCATTCTAAATGGAGAAAAAATGAAAGCATTCCTGCTAAAAACTGAAACAAGACAAGGATGTACTCTTTCACAACTTCTATTCAACATCAACCTTGAAACTCTAACCAGAGCAATTAGACAAAAGAAAGAAATTAAAGGGCTACAAATAGGTAAAGAACTCAAACTATCACTATTTGCTGATGACATGATTCTATATCTAGAATATCCAAAAAATTCCACCAGAACACTTGTAGAACTAATAAATGAATTCAGCAAAGTAGCAGGATATAAAATCAACCCCATAAATCAAAAGCATTCCTATACATCAGTGATGAATCCACTGAAAGAGAAATTAGGAAAACGACTCCATTCACAATAGCCTCAAAAAAAAAAAATACCTGGAAATCAATCTAACAAAAGAGATGA